CCTTTTTATCCCGCCTGGGCATAGGAAGAGGAGGGAAGGAGGACCCAAGCAATCCCCCTCACCTACTGTCTTTGTAAAGACAGTGGGGGTGGGGGGATCGCTTGGATCCCACTTCCCTCCTTCGGCCCTTGAAAATATGTAAAATATATGATGTGGCCCTCATACTGAAAAGTTCGGAGACACCTGTATGAGAGAGAGAGAGAGAGAAGTAACGTTGTTTGTCTTCCACATGTGTAACAAAGCATGATTTCAGCCAATAGGTTATAACTAATTAATAATTCTAAGTGATAATTATGCTCTGTAAAGCCCTGAATAACTTTCATAACTGAAGAAATGCATTTTCTCATATGAACTTTCCAAGTTGGTTCAGATTCTTGGGAGAGGCCCTTTTTTTCAATCCGATAATCACTGGTAGTACATTTGATGAGAATTTAAAAAGTAGCTTTTTGGTGGTTGTTACCAAGTTCAGGAATACCATTTCCATGAAAATCAGTCTAGCTACATTTTCAGTTTCCATCAGCAGGGAAAATATTTTTATCCGGACATGCTTTTAACTTTTCAAGGTGACTTGTTTGCTATGAAGATTTAACTGGAGAGGGTTATTCATTCTTTCAATTCATGCATTTTAACTGATTTGCTTTTATGTTTTAATTTCAGTTCTTTATTTTGTTGTTATAGTTGCTTTGAGTACTATTTATAGGCAACACATAGAATAGGAAGCTAAGAAACAGATTATGATTTTCAAATAAGATGCAAATGGACAAGATATATACTTTCTGTGTTAGAAAGGAAGTCACACTTTTAATCTTTCTGACCTTCTGCCAAAAGAGACCTGGGGCATCTCCCCACCCTTTCTTTCTTTGGAAATTTTAAATGTAAATGTAACATTATGCATACCAGTATTGCTTAACTGTTTTTATCTCTGATCCCTCTCTCCCCAAAACCAGATGATTATACGCCTTAGTAATGCTTTCTCACTAAATCCAAGACAAAAAGTAATCATTTTCAATTTCTCTTAAGACTGAGGGTTAGTTAAGAAGTGATGTTAAACAGGATATAAGTGATTATCTAAAGATTAAGACTAGTTAAGTAATTTAGGTGGGTCAGAGAAGCGAGTCATGAATTTTCAAAGTTATTTTATTCCAGAGATTACTGTTGTTTGAGATCCCAATTGATTCTGACACACAATGCAGGAAAAGTTTTGGAGGTGTTTTTAGCAACTTGCTGAGTTTCTGAAGTCTCATTTAACATCTTCAATCTCATTTCACAGAAAGGAACCTTCTAGTAATAAACAGTTCAATTTAAAACACTGCTCTTAATGAGACTGTCCTTAATAACAAGGGCAAGTCTGTTCTTAATAAGACTACAACAGAGCTGTTCTTAATAAGACTACCATTTCTTTTAAGTAATATTTTCTCTTGTCCTAAAAATGGGATCTGCCTCCCCCACCATCAATACACATACAGTTAGGATGCTGAAGCTGATCATTACACACTTCATGTTTCACCACTGTAATGTAAATGTAATATTGGGTGAACTACCACTGAACTGTTGTCTCAGTGGTAGTTCACCCAATATTTACATGGAGGAGCTCTCAGATTCAAACCATGCCATCTCCAGGGATGAAAAGCATCTCAATAGTACTGCTAATAGAGATCTTTGGCTGGAGCCCTGAAAATTCACTGCTTGTTGAAAATGAAAATGCTGCCATACATGCTTAACCAGCTCTTTGTATCCCCTTTGAAACAAAATGTGTTTTCTACTTTACTGCATCAAGTATTTCACAGGTTCTGACGTAGTTAGTAATGAAGATTTAAAATGGAAAGTGCCAGGTCTTTTTCTATTTCACGTTATCAATATTGTTCAGAGGTGATGTAATTGTTTGGAGTTTGATGAAGACATTCCATATCACTTCAGCTTTAATACCAGCCTGGAGCCTTCATTGTCTGCCTGTGGAAGCTAGATAAACACAGACCCATGTGCTTTCTACTCATCTCGCAATACTTACTCAGAGATCTTAGAATATGCTCATATTGTGAGCTAAACATTTCACATTTCATTTTGGCTGATGTGCTAGAAATCCATTTCTTGAATAAACACTTCACACATTGACACACTTAAAGTCACTAAATATGATAAATAAATAAAAATGTATACAACCTTTCAGAAACTATTAAACATCTCACTTTTGACAAATGAGCAGCCAGACACTTTATGGAATCTCTGGGTCAGACATATCATATCTTTTGTCTTCGTTATGTATGAAAAATGAACTTTCCATCTCAGTTCATCTGCTAAACAACTGGCCTTTTCTAGACGCACTGTTCTCAAACCAGGGTTGTTTTACAAATTCTTCAGAGCTTAAATGTTTCAATAACTTCTTTTTGCTCAAGGTTTTAAAACATCACAGGGAGAAGGTATATTTATCATGACCCATATAAAATAGTGACTCAGTATTTCAGTGTAATTCCAAGACACGTAATCATGAGGCAGACACTGTGTGGCACATAGTCACTTCAAAAAGAAAAGTCCAACCACATTAATCACATTAATTGTGCTCCAGCTAATCCATCACTGTAACTGACAGTAACTCACTTGTCTACTCACCCATTGCACCACTATTTTACCCTTGATTAGCAGAATGTAACTAATCTCTTATTTATTTAGGTTTCTGAAGCACTTTTCTCGCCCTATGCCCCTAAAGTGTCTTTGACAGTGAAATATTTTATTAGGTGAATTCTAAATAAAAATGTCATACTATATGTAACCTACACTTTCCCAATATAAGCAAATATTTTGTTACACTAAATATATGCATCATTTTAGTGAAGCATAGGGGTCTGTATTAATAGGTAAAATTAAACATTCCAAAAATTAAATTCATACAAGATAAGCGACAGATTAGGCTGTATTTTTAGATAATTAGCTAAGTGTCACAATAATGTTGCTAGCTATAATAATGTATATCTAGCTTCAGGAGAATCTATAGAGAGAAGATTTTATACAAAAATGCCTGCCTCTTTTTTAAAAAAGTCTTCATTGCTATGGAATTTTCTGTTTTCAATATCTAGAACAAACGTAAGTGGTACACTTTCTTAAAAGAAGAAGCAAAGGAGATGGCTAGAGTCCAAAATACAGAGAAGTGATCTGAGAGAACAAATGAGCAGGCTTCAAGGTATCTCAAAGGAAGCTGAGAAGAATTTCACTTCACTTTTCCAAGAACAATAATGGAAATTTTGCACTGCTCATACTGGTTTTAGTTTATTCTTAGAATCAATTTTCATTAAGCACAAGCTCCTTCATCTTACATTTACAGTGGTGCCTTGCATTACGACATTAATTCATTCCAGCAAAATCACTGTTGAACGAAAACGTCATAATGCGAAAAGAAAAAACCCATTGAAACACATTAAAACCCGTTTAATGCATTCCAAAGGGCTGTAAACTCACCGTCCAATAAAGATCCTCCATAGGGCGGCCATTTCCGCTGCCTGTGCAGCAATGAATCTGTCCCAGAAAACAGCGGGGGCCATTTTGTTTACCCGGTGGCCATTTTGAAACCGCCGATCAGCTGTTGGAAAATCGTCGTTTTGCAAAGAATTGGTTCCCGAAGCAGGGAACTGATCATCGCAAAGTGAAATTCCCCCATAGGAAACATCGTTTTGCGATTGCAAAAAATCATCGTAATGCGGTTTTATCATTAAACGGGGCAATCGTAATGCGAGGCACCACTGTATATTCCCACATACAACTTAATTCTACCTCTTCACATCAACATTTAATTTATTTTCAAGAGTTTCAGTTTTTTGTTACAGCAAATCCAGTTTTTTTAGTGTTTTTTTTTTCTTTTTCTTTCTTGCTTCACCTTGTAGGTAGAAAAGTGACTGTATTTTGTGATGGATATGAGGCATCTGTTTTTTTTATAGGAAAGAAAATGTTTTCCAATAATAGTTTCTAGCTCTTACACCTATTATGTATTATATTTTTTTCTAACAGGTTGCAGAACACTGGAAATAAATCTAAGAGTGTGTGATCTTGCCTTCATTCATGTTTACATTATTTGGAGAAAGCAGATCAAGGCAAAAGAAGATGCACAATCAGGTAGCAATGAATATGTATAACATTTTGTGGAGCATGGCAGCTATAACCACCATCAGTGTCCAGCCATTCAAGAAGCATTCTTCAACTATCATGAAGATTTAAAAAAGGAATACTAAACATTCTTCAACTATATGAAGATTTGTAAAAGGAATACTATCCTCAATTACTTTTCAGAGCTTACTCCCACTGTATTTCCTTGAATATTGCAATTCTTCAAAACTGCAATTGAAAAAAGGAAACAATTTGGCAAATGCATGTGTCATTTCTATTAGACTTGGAAAAAAATTATTTTAAAATATTTTCCATTGCTAGTATAACCACTTCATCAAGTAAGCCACAATATTAAGCAAATTTCAGAAAAGAAGAAGCAAGGGGGGGGGAGCGGAGGAAATGAAGAGTTGTGCAAGCACAAATGAAAAAGCTTCAAAGACTCAGACCTCATTAACGCTTACATTAATAAGAATTATAAAGAGTGCATTGGCTTCATTGTCAGAGCTAATTCAACACATTAAAGCAATATATAATTATTCACATTGTTAATATGTTAATAGCATCTCTTTTCATTCCTTGGTGTATAGCGGGGAGCTAAAGAAAATACATAACAGCAGCAGTATGCATCTGTTTTTAGTCAGAAAAAGAATCTCTCTCTCTCTCTCTCTTTGCAAAGGCCTAATTGGTTTATTTTAATCTACTCAACTGTGTTGTATTAATTTCAGGACGAGATTGAACTTCTTAGCTTTAATAGTGTACTATCTAAGAGTACCGGGTCTCCAGAAATCTCCAGTAAATTATATCACAGTAACAATTTGTCCTTTAAGATTACATTTCTTTCACCAAGCAGAAAAATCAAAGCTTATGAGAATAACAATGAAAAGATTTTCATATTTTGTTCAGCTCACCTTTTACGCGTCTCTTCAAGAGATTTCTCTTCCATTTCATGGTCAATTTTAGCTGAACAATAAGCAGAGAACAAGGTTAGATAATATCTTGGAGTAATATTCTTACTATACATAATTCTAAAGGAAAAGCACTGGGTTAATTTATGTGAGCAATGAAATTCTGTATTTGCACAGAAGTCACATCAATGAAAGTTTCAATAGCAATAAGAAGTAGATGTGAATTATTTTCTGATATCCAAAACTTTTTACCAGTTACTGTAGAAGTTGTTTTGCACGTTTAATCTGTTTCTCAAATCTTCTTTCTTTCTGTTCACTTTTGGAAGATAAATTAACAGCTACCTACCCACACATGTACAAATACACAAGAAATGAGCACATTTCAGCACTGCAAAAATTCTGGATTAGATCTTCCTCCCTTAATGGTGAGGAAAACTTCAAACTGTAGTCCAAAAGTATGTGGAGGGCTGCATTTGGCTCATCCCTGATTTGTTTAGTTATACAGAGTTTTAGGAAAAGATCGGAGTTCTTACATGTTCTTCATTTCACACACACACACACACACAAACACACACACAATGCCTGACTACTGAACTGACTAGAATATTCGGACTACACCAACCACAATTCAATGTGATATGTTATTCATTGCCAAAACTAATGTCATCCGAGTACGAAAACACTACCAGAAAGCTAAATTACTACTGGCACAGAAATTCACCAAAGTGGAATTTTGACTATGTATTGGTTTTGGAAAATTTGGTAGTCTTGTACAACATGTTCTCAGTTTATTACTTCCGTCTCATCTGTTAATAGAAAATGACGTTTTACTGTGATTGTGTTTGGCTTTGCATTAATTCTTTTCACATCTGTTTTCCTAAAACTGAACCCTTTTAGACCATGTATTCTATAATTTCAGCCACAATGAAGGCAATTTCCCTGAATCAATGAAAACTTCACCAAAACTGGATGCAAACTAACAATTCTCTGTTTTCATATTCCTATGCTATACTAATCCCAAACTGTTATGAAGCCCACATAGAGAAAAACAGACATTTGCAACAAAACATGTACTGGCAAAATCAAATTTTGAGAGGAACTGACAAATTCTAGAGAAAATCTGTATAAGGGGAATTTATTGGAGATGTACTCCAAGGAATCATAAATTACAAGGTTGGGCAGGCTCTAAGCTTGCCAGCAGATGTTTATGTAACATCAACACTTTGTTTTATACAGTATGTTCAAACAGAATATTTTTAAAACGATCACACCTAAACACCCTCTCTGGCACAGAGATCGCCCTTCGCCCTGGTTTAACCCAAAGCTGTGATTAATGGAGCGAAATAGGAGAAAGCTAGAGTGCATATGGAGGCGGAACCCAATAGAAAATAATCAAATAGCTGTCAGGATCGTGACTAACCTCTACCAATCTAAGGTGAAGCCTGCTAGTCAATCTTACTTTGCTGTACAGATAAGCAAAGCTTCCAATCAGCAGGCAGAACTTTTCTGTATAATTTGCGATCTTTCCAGAACTGGTCATGGTGACTTCCAATAGCATCTCACCTGACCAATTTGCAGGCTTTTAAAAATCAAAAGTGGAAGCCATCCCTCGGGATCTTGCCCCTATTTGAAAACAGTAGATCAAGCTGAGATGTCCAGTGCTCTGTCTTGCACTGTGACATCAGATATGGTGGACAGAGTGCTTAACTGCTATCATGCCACCACCTCCTCCCTTGACCCTTGCCCAGCCTGGCTAATCAAAGCAGCCAGGCCTATAACATCTGAATGGGCTACAGTAATAATTAATGAGTCTCTCCAGAAGACACTCATTAGGCCCATTAGCAAGAAACTGAGCTTGGCGGCAAATGATATTGGTAATTATAGGCCCATCGCCAATGTTTCTCTCCTTAGCAAGGTAGTTAAGAGGGTGGTGGCCTACCGTCCCCAGAGAGTGCAGATTGGAGAGAGTTTCTTGGCCCCGTGGAGCCTCAATTGTGGGGTCTCACAGGGCTTGATTATCTCTCCAATGCTATTTAACATCTTTATGAGGCCGCTGGGAGGGGTCATCAGGGGGTGTGGAGTGGATGCTATCTTGTCCCTTGAGCACTGCCTGGGGGCTGTTCAGCAATGGATGCAAGAGAAGGGACTGAGGCTGAATCCGGGCAAGACGGAGGTCCTTCGGGTGGGTGCCCCAGACATCAGTGGTCTGAGAAACTCCCTCTCTTTTGGGAGGGTGACTCTTTCCACCATGAGTGAGGTTTGCAGCTTGGGTGTACATCTGGACCAGGCACTTACCATGAACACCCAGGTGTCGTCAGTGGCCCATTCCACACATTTCCACCTTCAGCGGATTGCCCAGCTGCGTCCCTATCTTGATGTGGGGGCACTCACCACTTTGGTCCATGTGCTCCTAGTCTCAAGATTCGATTAATGCAATGCGTTCTACATGGGGCTACCTTTGAGATTGACGTGGAAACTTCGGATGGTACAAAATGCCACGGCCAGACTTCTAACTGGGGTAAAGAGGCACTAACATATTTCCCCCATGCTGGCTGCCTTGCATTGGTTCACCATTCATTTCCGCACTGATTTCAAAGTTCTTAGGATTACTTATAAAGCCCTAAATGGTTTAGGACCTTGATATCTGGCAGAGTGCCTTTTCCTGCTCAGGTCTGCCAGCGACACTTGTTCTAGCCAGGCCAGGCAATTGAAGGGCCTAACGCCGAAAGAACGAGGAACTGGGCCTTCTCGGCAGTGGCCCCTCACCTCTGGAACAACTTGCCCCTAGAGATCCGCCTGGCTCCCTCTCTGGGTGTCTTTAGAAGTAAACTTAAGACATGGCTATTTTAGGCAGGCTTTCCCTCCTACTGTATTTTAATATCTACATTTTTACAGCTTGGATTTTTGCATGCCATTGGTTTTATTATTTTTAAATTTTGTAATGCCACCCAGAGTAGACTATCTGTTTAGATGGGCGGGGTATAAATCTAAATAAACAAATAAACAAATAAACAAATAAACAAA